GGAACGAAGTACACTGCTGAGGGGAGCAGCGGGCGGCAGGAGAGGTCTGCGCGCCATGTGGGACCCTCCTCCAGTGGCCGGGGAGCAGCTGGGGATCGAACCGGCACCGCAGAGGCCGCGGGCAGCTTTGCAACCCAGCACTCAAACGCTGCGCCACCGGGGAGGCCCAACAATGGTGGTTTTTGTCTTGATTTTGATTTTGCTCTTTTCCTTTCAGACTTGTCTGGTTATTTCTGATCCTTTTCTGTGGGTCCCCATGGAAGATGCTTTAGACTTGTGGCAGGTTTTGAGGCCTTGCTCTGGGCCAATCCCATTTGGATGGACTTTTACCCACGAGGGGACGGGTAACTTTGGGTACTTGATTTAGAAACTATATTCTTTGCCTTTCCTGTATTGTTTCCTAATTGTATTAAAGTTCCTTCCCATTAAAGTCTCATATGTTTTGTGTTGATGCGGCAGATGGTAAAATCCATTTAGAGCAGGCAGGTTTGCGGTGTCTAGGCTGCCCTCTGCCTGCCCTGTAACAGAAGGAATTCAGAAGCAGATACCCACAGACATCCATAGCCTCTGGAAGCCCCAGGATAGACCCTAAAGGCCAACCCATCATAGGAGGCTTCCACAGACAGGGGCACAGCCTTTGTGAGCTGCTAAAGGAGTCTGAAGGCTGACCTGCCTTAGAAGACTTCCATAGAAATTGACAGACTTGGTGAGTTCCTGGATGAGATCAGAAGAAGACCTGCCACAGCAGACCTCCTCACAACTTCAGTGAGTTCCCAGAAAGAACTCAAAAGTTTATCCATCATCACAGGCCTCTGCAGATATAATGACACAGACCCCAATGAGCTCCAAGTCAGGACCTGGAATCAGACCCACTAAGGGAGGCACCTCCAGCAATGCACAATGAACTATGGGGAGGGTCTTGAAAACAGACCTGCCACAATAAGCATTTGCAGCTCTCAGTGAGCCCAGGGGTGCCTGGAAGTAGCAATCAAAAAGGTAGAGCCTGGTTAATCCTAGGAAGCCCCAGAACAGGACCAGAAAACATGCCCACAGTGGTAGGCCCCCACTGGCCCCTCCAAGCTCAAGGGAAAATCCTAGAAGAAACCTGGTCCTGGTAGGACCTGGCAAGCAGTGGTGCAGGCCCTGCCAAGGGGCATAGAAGTGGCAGGTCCTAGCGGAGACAACTGCAAGGGCCTGGTCCCCACTGTGCAGCCCTTAGAGCAGTGTGTTGGACACTGCTTGGACAGTGGTTGGACAGATAATCTCTCAAATCAGAGTAGTATTATCTCTCCATTGGTCATTAGATGTCAGTGCAAACCTCAATACAGAGGACACTGAGGAGACATGCTATGTTGATCAGGAGGTAGATGGAGAGAGGAATCTGTGGACTGTGGGATGTAGTCCAGGGTAGGGAACTCTGGTGACAGAATACTCAGGTCAGTCAGAGACACAGGGGAGAGAGAAGCAGAGCATATGTGGAGGTACACTCCTTAGAAGGAGGAGAAACTTTGTGGAAGAGCAGGGTTGGTCCACATACAGACTGGGTCCCCAAAATAGATAATAGCAGAGCAAACATTCTGATCTGCATACCTACTCCCTACCTCCTGTCACTGGTACCTATCTTCATATACTGTTGGAGTGTACACTAGACCCTATGGAAAACAGCATGGAGTTTACTCAAAATATTAAAAATATCAGTGTATTTCAGTCAATCTACTTGTTCTGCTCCCTACTCTGTGTCTGGTGAATCCTCTCACCTCCCTGCACCTCTAGCCTATACCCCAGCTCTTATATGCACAAATAATTAAATAAAGCCTCTTGCTCCTCACTCCTCTTCCACCCCTAGAGAACAGTAATCATCAATATAGATACTGTATTTTTTCCCAAACTGAAAGACCCTGCTCTTAATTACTTCAAAATCCTATTTACCTAACGCAGGATCCCAGAGTTGATCCAGAACCTATCTTGGGGATAACAGAACCAACAAGGGAGAAGGCTGAGATAATTTGAGATACCGAGTACTTAAGTGCTAGTGGTGTTCACACAGCTCTGCATGTATTTTTGGCTCTGGCTACTTTCTAGACCTTCTTATGGTCATGGATTTGAAGGATTTCTCTAGGCCAGTTTTTACTATTGTGGAAGAGAGAAGAAAAATGAAGGATGGAACAAAAATAGAAAAGGGAATGATGAATGGTGAGCAGTGAGTGTGGAGAGGTACACATGCAGGCCACCCTCTGTAGATGAGCAGAAGTTCCTACTGGAAGGAGAAAATGCAGGTATTCTGAACCTCCTAATGGATTTCCCTGCAGTTAGATGCTTGACAGTGAGAATTATGAATTTGCCTGTTTTTTTTCCCTTTCAAAATATTATAAATGACTTTCATTTTTTTCAAAAGTGGCAATCTACCTATCTAAACCTGTCTACCTCTTACTTATTAAAATTTTTTTGTGTGTTCCATTTAGTTCTTATTAGAGAGGGGAGAATGTATTTCTTCCTTTAAAAAAAATACCTTATGAAGCATTTATTAATAGGGAAAAAATGATACCTATAAAAAAATCTTTTGTAAATTGTATTGTCATTGTCACTGTCTGTTGAAGGAGCCATCATTTGAAAGTGAAGTTGAAACTGGTAGCCCAGTGCAAGAGAACATGCACAAAAATCAATTCAACATCCACAACCAAGAGAAATGTCTCAATGTTTCAAAATTACGATGCTGAAACATTTCTTTGAAAATATTCATCTTAGGAAGAGTCTGTGAAAGGGGGTTTTTTTAGTTCTTTTCGACTGAGTCATTAACACTAATAATAGCACTTTTGTCCCTCAGAAAGCCCCCCCTAAGAGTAAAGTTACTCATTTTATTTGCTACTCAGTACTTTTGACATTATATTTCTTAGACATTTTTCCTTCAACTTTTCTCCATGGTTCTATAAACAAATTGAAATAACCCTAAGGACAAACTGACTTCTCTTTTTCTCTTAACTTGCTCAGTTGCCAACTCCTATTTTTCCAACCCAAGTGCCTGGGGGAAAATTATGATTAAAAAAAAATAATCAGGAAGGTTTTGGAATGCCCATCTACCACTTAGAGCCTACTGGAGTCATGGTAGATCAGAAAAGGACTGGTTCAAGGTGCTTAAGCTTGAGCTATTTACTCTGATTCATTAGGACTGACTAGAAACTGGCCTCTGATTCTTTTTCCTGCCTTTAAAAAATAGCATTTGTTAGCATTGAACTTTTTACAGCAGTTGTGGAGCAAGAAATCTTGAGAATTTTTTTCTTCTCTATAAATTTTAGGACTATAAAGTAACAATAAAAAATGAGCTACAGGGCTCATTTGTATATGGAAGTCAGTGAAAAGCACCCCTTAATGGACAGTGAGGGGGGGGGGAGCAGAATATCTGTGAGTTTACCCCTGAATTGTCCTTAGAGAATATAATTATAGAAACAAATATTTTAAATATTTTTATGTATGAAACTTTGCCCAAATATTTTCTTGTTTATGCAAATACCTGCTCTTAAATGTTTTCACTACAAGTAGTCTTTCGTTACCCATTTCATTTTCTGTGTTTCTGCTTCTTGCGGGACTTTTCTGTTTTGGTTTGATAATATTGTCATCTCAAAACCAGATCCAATCTTAGAGTGGATTTCTGAAATGTCTGGCCTGTTTGACAGTCCCCTTTTGTCAAGGCACATACCCCCATTCATTTCCTTTAATAGTCAGCATTTAGGGTTGCTACTCACTGCCTAGAAAGGTGACTTAAAAAGCGTTATCACACTTATTCTGGGTGGGCAATCTTTCCATGCAGGCAGTGTTATTATCCAGTTTTATAAATGAGAAAATAGGCTTTTAGAGGGGTTGTATATGGTCACTAGCCTGTGGAGTGTCAGTGCTTGGATTTCAAGCTTGGTTTCCAAAGACATTAGGGTTCACCTTAACCAATGTAGTGTGCTGCCTCCCTTTGCTTGGAAAGGATCCTATATTTCCAGAATCTTTGGAAAGAACCTTGATTGAGAACTGACCTCCAGCAAATATCCCACCCCCAAGAAGCTGGCCACCCAGAATTTACAGCCAGCTAAGTGTCCTTAACCAGGCGTAGGATTTCCTGTCACTAGTCACTCTGATTTCTCTTTTACCAGAAAGTCCCTGATACTAAAAAAATCAGCTAAAATAAACCCTGAGGCCAGGGTCAAAGCTGAAAATTGGATCTAGAATGCCTTCCAGGCATGAAAACCCAAAGAAATGGTGTCAGAAAGCAGTTTTCCAGAGTATGAGTTTGGTTTAATTCCAAACAAGAAGTCAAGTATCCCAGCCTCCCTCTCATGTCCTAAATTCAATTTGTATTTTCTCTCTGCTCAAGAAAATTGCTTTTCAAATTCTAGAATGTCATACACACAGCAAATTGGGTGGTAGTTTGGGAAGTTTTATCCTTCACACTATCCCAACTATTCTAAATTTTCTAAATGTTCTACAAACAAAATGTTACTATTAAAAGAAAGGCATTAAAAAGTGTTATGATGGTTTTCCCAAGTTGTTACTTCCTGAGAAAATTACAGTGAAATGAAGAAAATAACAAAATAGCAACAATGCTACATAAAATTTGGGGGGGAAGCCCTACTGAAGCACAGATTGTCATCATGCATTACGGTTTTTTTTCCCTGCCTTTTAGAATGGCAAGCTAGGTGTGTGGACTGTAGGAGGTTCTTGAACTACTTATGATTGTAAGCACTGGAGTGTGCTTTAGGCTGAAGAAAGTGTGTGTGTGTGTGTGTGTGTGTGTGTGTGTGTGTGTATAGGTAAGAAAGATGTGCGCTTATATTACTTTCAATGTGCCCCTAACACCCCCAAAAGATTCCATGCGGCCAAATAAGCTTTCAGTTCGTGCCTTCCAGTAACCTTTGCGTCCAGAAGGCAAATCAGAATCACAGAGATTATTAAAAGTTGCCTTTGGAAATGTAGTGATCCAAATAGGATCACCACCATTTCCTGACAGCCACCCAATCCCTGACCACAGCCTGGAAGTCTCCTTTAAACTAGTTTCTGGGTCTAACTCAATCAAGGATAACAAAGACCACATTCTGACGCGCCTGGGGCATTTGGTTTTCACCATGCGTTTTATTATTCATAAAAAAATAAATTTATTTACATTTGCTAATTACTGCGGTAGTGCAGCCTTTCGGCAGCCTCATTTCCCCCTGAACGGGGTCACTTGGTCCCAAACAGCTTCAGCGACCCCGACCATTCCTCCCACCAAGCAAGGTTGTCCCCACGAGGAGGCGGTATTAGGGGAGCAATCGGAGCCACGAGTGGGGAGACTTGGAGCGGACAGTCAGGAGTCCGATCTGGGTTTGGGGAGTTGGGAGTAGAAACTGCTAGGAGCAGTGGGAGCGGCGGTAGAAGGAGGTACGGGGGAGACCAGAGGCAAATTGTGAGGGAGGGGCTATGAGGTTCAAATCTAGAGCGCGAGGAGGTAGGCGGAAGCCTGAGGAGGAGGCGGCGGGAGCCCTGGGGGCACTGGGAGCTGGACCGCTGCAGGCCGAACCACCCCTCCCGCAGCGTTCCCAGCTCAACCCTGCTCTGCTGGTCTCTGAAAGTCTCTGCTCCTGGCCGAGTGCGAAGCGGGCAACATCCCGCCAGCTAGGAGGTCGCTGCGCTGTGCTATACAAACCTGACCCAGGTATGCCATCTCTTCTCTTTTGCAACTTAAAAAAATTCTCCGATGGGGGTCTCGTGAAAACTTCTGTCTTTAAAGCCAATGGTGAAGAGCGCGTTCTGAGCAAGCCTAACCGTGAAAGGCCCGTGTGCAGACTCGAGCCATCACTGATAGATCTGACTCAGGTTGGAAAACAACCCCGAGGAGGTTTGGCGCTGCGATCAGACGGCAGCGCAGGAGTTAATCTATACTGTTAAAGCCAGAGGTTGGAAGTGGGTCCGCGCTTTTGATACGGATGGATACTCTTTCCGGAGAAGTAAGGTGTTGACGCCCAGATCCGCTGCAGCCCAGCGGTCGGCGCCCTAGCCAAGCCGCCGACCCTCCGGATCTGTCCCTCAAGTCTGCCACCTGTTGTGGCCACAGTTCCAGGGAAGGGGAGGAGGGTCTAGGAGAATCCAATGAAACTTTCTTCCCCTTCTGTGGAGTTCTCCAGCTCTCTCCCTTCTATCCAGGGTCCCCAAACACACGGGTTTAACCAATAATCCCATCAAATGAGTTCCAGTTCGACCTAAGCGGTGGTCCCACATAGTCTGCTGGCTGCAGAGACTTCTTTGGTGTCAGACTCAGGTCGTCCTGAGACCACGAAAGGCCATGTCTGTAACAATAAAAAGAAAGTCAGATACTGAAGGAGAACTGACCTTCTCTAAGTGAAATTGCTCTCCTAAAATGAACTCTGGGGCATTCTTGGCTTAAAGTGGCTCAGATTTTATGTATGTTCTGGGAATCTGTGGATCTTCTCTCTAAATTGTGACTTTAATGTTCGTGGATTCTGATTACTTGAGATGCAAGGTGTCCATCCCCACTTCCTTCTGGATTTGCCCTCCCAGATGCTTTGGTGACATTTGCATGAGTTTGGAGTTTTGCAGCTTAATTCCCTTCCCCCCTCATCACACACACACACACACACACACACACACACACACACACACACACACACCTACCTCTGCTCCAAGTAGGAACTGGGGCCCCATGAGGCTGGAGTATGATCTTTCCCAAGCAGGGAGAGTTGGCAGGTCGGAGAGGGACTTTCCAGACAAATCTCATTTGGGGAAACTATTCCTGTTCTACAAGAATTAAAAATCCAACTGCCCCCTCTCACACCCCCCCCCCCCAAGGAAATAGGCCCTCTGTCTTTCCTTTCAGAAAGCAAGGCTTGGGAATTCAAACCTGTCAGAGTTTTAGCTGGAAAAAGTTGGGCTAGGGAGATTTGCCATTCAATCTGCAACTGGGTAGTAAATTCATTTAGAACCCCGAGTCACCCCGGAAGCAGGATATTAGCCAATATCTGTCAGTGGACGAAGTACCGTGTACAATTATCACAATGATGCAAACACGGAAGGGTGGATATTTCTTCTCCAGGAAAAAAAAAAAACGGCTGGTCCCTCCCATGAATTGGGAGAATCTAAATTGGCTCCCTCACTACCCGTTCCACAACCTCCAGGGTCGGGTTCCTCCCAGCTGACCCCCTCTACCCAGCGCCTCGGAGCGCTCGGGCATCTCTGGATCGCTCGCTCCCGGCCTCGCGCGCGGCGTCCCTACCAGGTTCACCGGATGCACACAGCCGTTCTCGTAGCGGTCCTCCTGCAGCAGCTGCCGCAGGTGCGCGATGTAACTGGAAGCCAGCCGTAGCGTGTCCAGCTTGGAAAGCTTGGTGTCGGGGGGCACCCAGGGCAGGCTGGTCTTTAGTCTGGAAAAGGCTTTGCTCAACACGCGCATCCGGGCGCGCTCGCGGGCGTTGGCCGCATTCCGCTGCGACTGTTTGCACTCGGCTGCTGAACCCTTGGGCGGGAGGGGCTTCTTGCCGCCGCCGCCCCCAGCTACACGCTGCCGCTTCCTCTTGCAGTTTCCCGCGGCTCGGGACGCGCCCAGCTCGCACCGCTCCTCCTCGCCGTCGGGGTCCTCCTCCTCGGCCGAAGAGTTGTCACTGGGCGAGACATAGCTGCGCTCGGTTCCGCAGAGAGGTGGCCTCTTAGAGGCAGGGATCGGGTACCCCCGCTGCAGACCTTGCAGCTCCATCTCCTCTGGATCGCTCACCGAGCCGGTGGACATCACTGAGTGTGCCAAGCCCGCGCGCGCCTGCCTTGCTCGCCCAGGCTAGTCTCGCGGCCTCCACCTTCCTCTCCCTGGCAGAGGCGGGAGGCCAGGCAGAGTTCGGGGGAGGACAGACGATCTGGGTCAGGAGGCGCGAGAGCGAGGAGGGCGGTGAGAGAGCGCGAGTCCTGCCGCTGACCCCAGAGAGGGCGGCCGAAAAGTTGGCGCCCCAGCTCAGGCTTGGCGCTTACAACCGCGAACTGCGCCTTTTGACAGGACTATTTATCTGTACTCGGAACAAACCACCCGGGGCAAGGAAGAGGGGGTTGGAAAGGGGACCGAGAGGTGGGGCGGGGGCGTGGAAAGGGTGGGGACCGCTTTTCTCTGCGCAGAGGATCTGCTGGTGGGGGCGGGCAAGGGGAAGTTTCTGCGAGTGGAGTTTTGGGGTTCCGGGGCCAATGGATCCTCAGTTTGTCTGAGCAAGATAAGTGCAAGTAGCACAAAGAAAGAAGCCGGCCTTATTGGTACCCATTCACTTCCATCCTCAACTAACAGGGGTAGCGAAGATTGCCAGACACTTAGAAACTCCGGGATGACAATTATACATCTTACCCAGGTTTTTCAGCAGAAGGGTTTTCCAAGTTCATCACTCATAATGATGACTGCCTATCCAAGGCTTGCACAACAAGAGGAAAAACTAAACAAACAACACCGGGCACCGCAACACCGCAAGTTAACTCATTTTCTTCTTCCTTCTTGTTCTTTACTAATGTTTTAAGATTTACAAAACCCTCTTATTTGCATTGGTTCGTTTCATCTTTAAAGATCTGTGACTTAAAAGTTATTACTTTCACTTTGCAGATCATGAAGCTGATCCACAGAGAGAGATTAAGTAAATAATCCAAAATCACTAGACGGGTAAACAGAATCAGAACTCAAATCTGTGTTTCGAATCCCCAGCTCTTCGGTATTCCAGTAGCTACTCTCCTCCTTGCCACACACCACAGGATGTTGTATCTGGTATTTTCTACTATCTGAGAGTTCCCCTGGTGATTTTGTTTTTCATGCAATGCATAAGTTAGGGGGCCCTGACCCAATGCTTTGAGTTGCAATCTAGGGACTCGATTACTATTTAAAATTGCTTGTTGAAGAGCAGACTCTGGATGCAGAATGCTAAGTCAGCAAATCGTTCCATTAAGAAGCAACAAAACTGTATCCAGAATTATAGTGGCCCATGCCAATAAAAAATAAGACATCCTAAAAAAAAAAAAAACAACAACAACAAAAAACCGACATCCTGCTATCTCCACAAAGGCAACAAAAATGTAGTTTCATTTCCTAATTGGAAGAGCCTTAACAATACATGATCTGGGAATGTGTATTTTATTTTGGAAGTGAATGTTAATTAATGGCCAGTCTGCTGCATTCTCTGTGACTTCCCACTGAATAATTAAGATGCCACAACACAAAAACGATTAATTAAAAATCTTAAGACTGGGTGCACGGTTACATTGTTTTATAGTGAGGAAACTGAATCTTCACATTGTCCTGGGTATTTATTTGTTCTGCCCCCGAAGCTCACAGATTCCCATACTGAGCAAAGTGCAAAGAGGAAAATGTGCAGTTGGCCCAGGTCAGAGCAGGCAGAAGCCCTCCGCTGGTGCCTCCTCCAGAACAAATGCTCAGGGCTCAGTGCCTGAAGTGCCGCAACAGGTGGCTGGCAGGGGCTGACTTCATCACTTAGGCATCGATCCACCTTGGTCTCCGGGGCAGACGTGCTTCCCTCCTGGGGGATGTTTCACACACTCCCTCCACCCCTCCACCCTGCTAACCTCCATTTCCAGATGTTTTGTTACAGCATATATATATATATATGTGTGTGTGTGTGTGTGTGTGTGTGTGTGTATACACACACACATATATACACACACATATATGTGTATATATATGTATATTTCATTTTGGTGGCAGGTGGGGGGGGTGGGGCTCCTTCTGGGGTCTGTTTAGTAAAAAGATTGCTCTCTTTTTCTCTCAGTTCCCTCTGAGCTAGGAAAACACAGGGAATGTAGAGGTCTTTTCTGCAGTGCTTGAACTTGAAAATGACTCTAGGTGCACTAGGTTAAAGAAGGAAGCAAAAAGAGAGAAGTGGGAGCAAAAAGATACAAGGGGAGATATCAGGCTAGCTTCCTGCAGCACCTATTGATGACTTGAAGTTATCAGTATAAATATAGTCTCACACATTCAGGGCAAGCATATAGGTTTAAAAAATCTGAATTGTTTATACAGGTGCAGAACAAAGTCTTTCTTTAGGAAAGATTAATGGCGGGGAGTGTGCTAGATTTTCTCTAAACAGTCGCAAAAAACTGTACCCAGCCTCAACTCTAAGTGGGTCATGGCCAGTTTCTTTTTCTTGAAGAAACTCCCTGACCCCAGCATTTTATTTTTCCATAGGTCTTTCCTTTCTTTTATCTTCCCTCTTCCTTTCTTTTTGTGCCTTTCTCTCTCCCCTCTTTTGCTGCCTCCCTCTCTCCCTCTCTCCTTCCCTCCCTTCCTTCCCTACCTCCTATTCTCCTTCCAGAAAACAGTAGTTCTTGTCTATTTTCGCTTCATTTCCCCTTTCCCTCCATTTCTTTTTAGTTATATTTTCATTCTTTACCTTTTTTTTCAAGTTGCAGATTGCTAATGAGCTTTAAGAAATGCATCTCATATACATTTCATATTAGTTAGTACGTAACTGAAGCTTGTTTTAACATCTTACATGTCTTTCAAAATGCTTTTACTTTTCCTTCTATCTCAATGATTACAATCCCGTGAGTTGAACAGTGAAAAGTATAATCTCTTTTCAAAGGTCAAGTATTTTAATTAGTTTGGCACATTACCACAGATTGCAAATGAACAACAAAAGCTTTATTTTTGTACGTAAATAAGTACATTGAGGGGTTAGTTGTATGATGGTACAAGGAAACCAAATTTTATTTTATTATTTTTTAAAGATTTATTAATCTATGCATATAAGAACTGGGGTACAGGCCAGAGGTGTGGGGGGGGGTGAGAGGATTCACCAGAGACAGATTGGGGAGTAGAACAGGCAGATTGACTGAATTACACTGCTGAGGGGAGCAACAGGAAAGTTAGGAGAGGTCTGCTGCACCATGTGGGTCATCTCCCTGGCTGGGGATCGAACTCGTGCTGCAGAGGCTGTGGACAGCTTCATAGTCCTGTGCTCAGTCCCTTGTGCCACCAGGGAGGCCCAGAAACTAAATTTTAGTGGTGAACATAATGTAGTATAATCAGAAGTTGATGTATAATGCACTACAGCTACCTGCAAGTTGTATAATGTTATAAACCAATGATACTTCAATACAATTAAATGAAAAAATTAGAAAGCGCTTTGAAAAAAATTCTGTGTGAGATACACACACACACACACACACACATTGTGTATGTGAAATATATATCTATATATATATATTGGTATGTAGGTATATATAGATATAGATATATAGATAGATACATACACACACAGTTCCTGTGTGGGACATATGTGTATCTACATATACATATACACACAACTGTTATTCATGGCATATTTGATGATCCTGAAAATCCTTAAAATGTTCTAAGTATGTGGCTGAGGGGGTGGTAGTGTCTGGGATTAGTTACATTATGAAATAAATAATACATTTAATAATGTTTCCTAATCCTGGCTCACTTTCTTATTGGCTGGATGACCTTCAGCAGCTTTCTTTTTCTGAGGCCCAGATCCCTAATTTATAAAATGAAGTATCTATCATTTGGGGTGGGAGAGGAAGTATGTGAGCAACTGCCTGGGTCAGAGCCCAGTACATGGCAGAGGATCAATACACACTCTTTACTCTTATCACTTTGAACTGTCTTGCCCAATTTCACACAGTGTCAGGATCTAGAGCTGACCCAGTTTTGTACTGAAACCCTGGTCTTTTCCTGGATTCCAAGTGGCACTAGAATGTTTCATTTGCCTTAACTACAAGCTTCTAGAATCTGAAGAGCGCAGTTTTACCACCTGACACTTGCCACATTTCTCAGAACAGATCTCACTCAGGGAAAATGAAAGGGACTGCCTTAAAAATGTTTTCTTTCAGGCCACCCCTGGTGGTGCAGCGGTTGAGCGCTGGGCTACAAAGCTGCCCGCAGCCTCTGCAGCACCAGTTCAATCCCCGGCTCCGCGGCGAGGTTCCCACATGGTGCACAGACCTTTCCTGCTGCGCCCACTGCTCCCCTCAGCAGTGTATTTTGTCAGTCTGCCTGTTCTGTTCCCCACTCTGGCTCTGGTGAATTCTCTCACCCTTCTGCACTTCTGACTGTACCCAGTGCTTGTATAAATAAATAAATAAATCTTTAAAAAAATGTTTTCTTTCTCCAATTGCCATTGACTCTTCCAACTTCCCCCCTTTGTTCTCACCCCACTTATCCTCCCATTTAGCCTCAATTATTAAGTCATATTTCTAGCATTAGCTTTGATCTAGTTTTGTCAGTTCCCTTCTTTTCTTTCATATATTCCACATATGAGGGAAATCATCCAGTATCTGTCTTTGCCCTTCTGACTTCTTTCACTTAGCATAATCCCCTCCAGTTCCATCCATGTTGTCCAAATAGCAAAATTTCATCTTTTTCACAGCTGAGTAGTATTCCATCGTGTATATAAACCACATCTTCTTAATCCACTGCTCAGCAATTTTAATAGGTGCTTCAGTGAACAGAGGAGTTCATGGATCCCTTTAGCTCTTTGTCAGGAAAACAGTCCCAGAAAGATGTTGGCCTTGATTCCCCAGGCAGGGCAGTTCACCTTAGAGACACCATGTAGGGTTTTGATGCCCAGTTCCTCCGCCTTTGCAGGGCAACTCTGGGCCTAGAGTACCATGCCCAGGTGAAGGAGACACAAGCTCCGGGTAACAAGGTATGGAAGTTAGGTAGATCTCAGGTCACAGCATGTGTTAACACAAGTTACTTGGGGGAGAGAGGAGCTCAGAGTTAGACCAGGCTCACCTTAGACCCAGCTATTCTACTCTTGACAACTTGAAGACCTAGAACCAGCTCCAGGTTCAGGGCAGCCTCTGTCCTAGGATTCTTGCAGGATGTCCCCATGCTCCCTGCCTAGGTGGGAAATGAACCCCAGGCATTGAGGCCCTGCCAACTCTTTGGTTGGGTGCCTATGGGACCATTCTGAATTGAGACTGGAGTCCTAGTTTATCTAAAGTTCATATTAAGATTTTTGCTTCCTTATGTCCCC